CATTACAAAATGATTGCTTAGTCATTCATTAGTTTTTATTTAATATTGGAAATATGCATTAATACATATTCTTCATCTGGTTTCCTATTCTACGCCAAGTTTCTAAGACCAAAACTAAGAATTATTTAACCTCACGTGAATTCTTTTATACCATTAATATAAACTGAGGAATCTAGATTTAAATTTTATAACTCAAATTTGCTAGCTAACAACATATCTTAAATCTAAGCGGTTATCGGATTAAGGTAACAAAGTTATGTATAAGTAAATTTAAGTATTAAAAAGTGATGAAATTCACAAAATGATTGCTTAGTTATTCATTAGTTTTTATTTAATATTTGGAATATGCATTAATACATATTCTTTATCTGGTTTCCTATTTTACGCCAAGTTTCTAAGACAAAAACTAAGAATTATTTAACCTCACGTGAATTTTTTTATACAATTAATATAAACTGAGAAATCTGGATTCTAATTTTATAACTCAATTGCAATATTAAGTGATATCTTGAGCTAAGCAAGTATACAGGCATAGAAAGCAAATTATCTCTGTATTCACCTAGCGTAACTAATTTTCAGCTTATAAATCTGCAATTAAGCGAACGATCTAGTAGTGCCGCATAAAAACAGGAAAAGATAGAAAAGCTTTCTAAAATTTTGGCCGGTTACTTGCCATCTACTTACCACGCGATAAATTTTTCCAGGCAAATGACTATCCTCAATGAATGAAACATCATTATGCGAGTCTTCACTCGTGTTGTCTCCAGCACAGAACCGACTTGTGTAAGGAAAGAGTTGGTCTTCTTGGGCTGCGAATTGCTCATCATTCTCTTCTTCTTCCATCTTTTCATCCTCGTCGAACTCCTCTTCTTGACCTTCGTCTTCTTCCTCGTCATATTCCTCTCTCTCCGGTTGTTCTGCATACTCTGTATCCTCCGTTTGCTCATATTCCTCATTAGGCCTTATAAAATTGTTATGCTTGTTATATTTGGCCAAAAACTGACGTTGCTGCGTGCGACATTTGACATGGTGTCTATAGTGACTAGGATAAGGTGAATCTATTTCATCCTTGTGTCTGGGTGAATCACTTGCAGACCCGGCCAATCCAATGGCTGGAATCATGTTAGAATAAAGTTATGATTCGATTGGAAAGAAAAAGAGAATTAAGAGGAGATCAAAAATCCAGTTAATTGGTGGTCAAAATGGCCTCCTATAAGCAATGTTTATAGAAATAATTGAGACATTAAGAGTAGTCACTACGGTTATATCTTGCAAGAACCGACGTCATTAGTACAGTAAATCTTATAAACACTTTAAATTGCCCTCATAACCTTTTGTACATCTAAAATGATCGTTTCCTCAGTTACTTTTGTCAAAATGAGGTTTTCATCAAGCC